TAAACGGGAAAACAAGTTTTGTATTTCGGATTGTGAAAAATATGCAATCACGCTTCACGGAATAAGGAGTAACAAGATTAATGAAGGGTGTTCCTAAGATCACCATATGATGCATATTCTCAACAAGCGTAAAATGATTTTTTATAAGCAATGCTACCATTGACCACAGAGGTTTCTATCTTACCGTGTATGGTCATTTTGGAATTGTTTGCTGTAGAAAGACGTTCATGTGTGTGCATATGAAAACATTTTGGAACAATGCTTTGCTTAATACAATTCAAATCAAGCATCAATATCAAACAAGACAATTGTATTAATTTTGTAATCATCGTGGAACACAAGAGTAATCTTAATCAAATATTTCCTAGAAGTAACTTCACGAAGTACAAACAGGAAATCTTCCGGAACGTGTTCCAAGTTTTCAAGGTTTGGCAACTCTTGGTCATTATCATGGTGTTCGAGTCGAGTCCGGCTCTTCGTCCGCTCGTTTTTCCAACGGGGTTTTCAAGAGATTGGAGTCTCCGGTTTGTTTCTCTTTGAGCTCTTTAAGCTTCGATTTGATGACCTTAATCTCGGATCGAAGGTCCTGAATTGTGGTCATATGTTTCTTGATCTTCTTCTTCCTATCTAGGATAACAGTGAGGTCATACGTGCTAGTACTAGTAGAAGGCAAGATAGAAGGTTTTGGTTTGTCATGAGGGTTTTCTTCTACGAACTTTAAGAGTCCGTCTAGGTATTCCTTTTATAATCGAGGATCATCAATCCTCTTAACTATGTCTAAAATGAGGTCTTGGTCTTTGGTTAAGACACCGGCATGTTTGGTTTTGTTATCGGGTTCACTATCGAACTCGGGTTTTGAACCGGAAGACGTAACAAGTTCATCTACTCGAAAAGTCTCTTCACTACCGCAGTAGTCCGAAGGGTTAGAGGAATCGACTAACAAAGCAGAGATTTTGTTATAAACATCTTCATCTAAATGAAGTTCTTGTAATCTGGTATTCATACGACAATATCTTACCGTATAGCCTTTTTGTCCACATTTGTAACAAGTAATGTCCTTTAGCTCGGTTCTAGGTTGGGACCTAAACTCGGGTTTTTCTAAAAGGTTTTTTTGGGTTTTGTTGGAAGGTTTCTTATAGAAAGGTTCTATATCTTTGGGTTGATCCCTATGGTAATGTTTTCTGTAGGGTTTTTTTGTAAGATTTGTGGGTTTTATCTTGGCAGTTACCTTGGCAACTCGAAGGTTTTGAAGTAGAAATGTCAAACTGTTTACGTAAACTTCCTAATTCCTCGTTTGGTCTTTTTCATTTCCCACTTAAGGTGTTTTCGGAGCTTTAAGTCTTGGCATATCTTAAGACCTTCCTTTTGGGTTAAACTAATTAGTTCACCATAAGTTAATTGGTCATAAGGAATCCGGTCACCAAAAGCATCCTTAATTCGGGTTCTAACCTTTTCTCCTAAGAGGGTTGGTAAACCCGCAAGGAATTTCTCCTTCTAAAAAGGTTGGTTTGAGTCTTCCTTAAGCATAACTCGGTCGGGAAAGTGGTTTTATAATATCGGAAATCACTAAGTTTCTTACACCTAAGGTTACTAAGAAGCTCGACGTTTTTGTCTTTGAGATGAGAAGGGTCACCTATGAAATGAAGGGAAATAGTTAAAATGAGGGTGGACACAACATCTTGGATGGGTTCACCTAAGTCATCTAGGATAGGGAGACCTTCGATCTATTTGAATGGCATTTAAAATTTTCATATCGTTGTTGGACGGTGAGATAATAGTCCCACCATCCTTTGAGTTGGCCGAAAAACCGACAATAAGCAATTCAGCCTATCGCACGATCGAAGTACCGGTTTGGGTTTTGTAGGCGTTAGCGACCATGGTCATTTCGTTGGAGTAAACTAAGGATATTGTACTCCGATAGGCCATCTATAGTTTATTCGTAAATGGAAGAGGCATTGAATCTAGGTTGTGCTAACTTGTTTGGCATTTCACCTATGTCGTGGCGATAATCATAGGTAATGGGTTTTTCCAATGGAACTTATTAATTTCGTGGATAGATTCTATCTCTCGATTTTTGATTTAAAACATTCACGCTATTGGATAAAGGAGTATCGTGAGCTACATGCTTAGAGGTTCCCTCGAAGATATTCCTATCTTACTAAGTTGGTCTCTAATGGCTTTGGCAATTTCGAGTTTGTTTGTTTGTATCCGTTGTTGACTCGATCTAGAAACCCGAAAGGGTTCGAAGACCGGGTTTTTCGACTTTCCGGTTTTTAGCTTCTACAGGAGCTAAGGAAACTACGAGTTTTGGGGTAGGAGGAACAACTGTCTCGCTGGATATGGGACTCAATGCTAACAATGTCGTTTTCCTATGGTTTGGAGATTGGTATTGGTAAAATTATTCCGTTGAACAATGTTTTTGATGTTGACTGAATCATCTTTAGGGATTTTGTAAGGACAAGCTTCTATTTTGGTTTCTCCATCGGAGAATGTCAATTTCTTAGGTGGCGGATGGTCGATCGAATCATTTTTCCTTCCACTTCCCATGTAAGGGTTTTGTTCCTAACGATTCATCGGTTTCACGATCTTGAAAAGATAGGAAATATCATTTGCGTAAGCATATATCTCAAACCAATCAAAGAATATATGAACTTTATGAGTATGCACAAATTCATAAAATTCGTTTTGAATATCCTTTCCAGTGGCCGTAAAGTTTTTGAAGAACCAAATTCGTTTTTCAAAATTATGTTTTGCATAGAAATCATCATGCGGATATTGTTTGTCTATCGTAAAACTATCATCGATAAAGCATTACATTCATGTGTAATATTATCGATGATAGCAGATGCAATAGGAGATGAGGAGGAGAATCCTCTTGGTTTGAATATCCGGGTTTTGGAATATGGGTGCCATAATCAACATTTTGTAAAACCGGGTTAGGGACATCCGAGGTTGAAAACCTACGTGGTTGTCTAAGTGGATGACGGACTCGATCCAAGTCCGTATCTCTCGTAACATTTGGTATATTTATGACTAAAGGAATCTCGTAAAATCTTCCTAGGTCATAAGTCATGGAACTAGAGGCAACATCGGAAAATCTACTATTGGTAAATTTTCTGTCAAACGAGAGTCTAACACTCCCATCCATTTGTTGTTCTATGGATCCGATTTGTGTGTTTGGTTTTGGGACCTCGGGAACGGGTAGAGATCCGTGTTTTGTAATTCCTTCCAAGATCCATTCATCCAAAAGCACTATGTCTTTCCACCTAATGGGTCCGGGAATAACGATATTGGATTTGGTCGGATCTGTTTGCGAAGAAGGGTTTCACCTTTGGTCGATCGCCTTTTGTGCTTAGATACAAATGCGTAATTCATGGCTTTGTAATGAATTTTTGTAATTAATGCAATCGGAATAGATCCATCCATCATATGATAATTATGAGTTTTAACTCGCAGAACCAATGATTCAATAATATTTTTGTCATTCAAGGAAATAAGTAAAATTTGGATAACAATCAAAAGAAATAGGTCCACTACATAAACTAGACTCAATTGAACTTAACAAAGAGTCTTGAAAATTTGTAAACCTATCGTCTCTAAGGACTCGCCGAGATCGAGGTGTTCAATCCCTCTTTTGTAAGTGGTTTAATCCCCACTTGAACTAAACCAATATGAATGTATTTAAAACCTTTGTCTTTATGTTTTTGAAGAGTTTTGGAAGAAAGAAGATAAATTGTTTCAAATGGTTTTGAGAGCCGAATATCACGCTCTTCAGTTTTGATAGTGAAATCGGTTTTGAAAAGTCCATATTTGTTGGTTTTGTAAATCTCATCTTTGTGAATCTTGAGTATTGCCCAATCATCAATTTGTTTTTCAAAATCTTCTATGACATATTCTACACTATTGATTATCTTCTTATACTCGAAGAATCGAAGCGTAAGATGCGAAAAGGAGGTAGATCTATAGAACATAGAATCCATACCTGGACTATGGTTCGAAGGTTTTGGGTACGCGAGTTATGAAAGCGACTCCTCCGATTTACCGCCCTATCCGTCGGGACTTACTACAACGACGCTAACTCGCTTGTCTATACCCTAGACTTCGTAACACGAAGCTAAACATGAAAACTATAAACCATAAACATACAACCCCACCAACAACTTAGGCTTTGATACCAATGAACCCCAAGGATATATATATATATATATTAGATTTAAACTCTTGGTTCATCCTTTAGAAAAATTTATTAAATTTTTCCGAATATATTAAGTCGATGCAGAAAGTGCATTTTTAAAATTAATTAGAAATGAATTTAGTTTTGATTAATAAATAAGTTAACTTGAAAATATTTTTATTGTGGAATATATATATATATATAGAAAAAGCAATCACCACCAATGAATATATTAGGGGATGACATTGTCTAATGTTCATTACCTGTGGTATAAAATTAAAAACCCAAAAGGTTTGGACTCAATTGACGAGGGAATAATATGTTAGGGGTTAAAATTCGGCTTCCTCAATTAACTCTATGGTGACGTAACTAACATGACTGACCAGCGAGGAAGCAGAAATATCGGGAAGCGGGTAGGCAAAAGTTTGGAGGCAAAATTAAGGGCAATAGCGTAATTATGAAAGTACAATCTTCTTTCCTCAAGCTTCTTGTGCTTGTAGGCTATTAGGTTATTAATGACTTGTACTGATGAGAGGGACAATTACGTGTGCACCAAGCGAAAAAGCCAAGCGCAGTAACCCTTACTCTTCTTTCTGCTCTTTTTCTCTCTCTTTCTCTCACTCTCTCTGTGCCTTCTCTACCTGCCACAGTCTCATAACTTTTTTATTTTTATTTTTGTTCTGGGTTATCTTCTTGAGATAATTTTAAAGGTTGCTGCTTTTTTTTTTTTTTTTTTTTTTATTGTGAAAGAAAGAAAGGAGGGGCATTTTTTAATGGGTGGTTTTTGAAGGAGTTGTGGATTTTTGGAAGAGAAAAGAAAAGGGGAATGAGGAAATCGTTTAAGGATTCTCTTAAAGCTCTTGAAGCTGATATTCAGTTTGCCAATACTCTGTAATTTCTTCGTTACCTTCTCTGTAATTTTCTTTTTTTTTTTTTGTTGTTTGTTATTTGGATTTGTTTTTTTTTTTTTTGGTATTAACTGAATTTGGTGAGTTATTTTGGGATGTCTGAGAAATTGAATTGATACTCTTGTTTGGGTTGATGCTTTTGTTTTGATTTCTGGGTTTTCCTAGCTGATCTAATTTTAGTTCTTTTTCAAGTTTTTGAAAAAAAAAATCATGACATGTTTGTTCTTGTCTCTCTGGCTCTTTTCTTTTCTTTTGTTTAGTGGGCTAAGTAGTTAGATATCAGCATCAGTGTGGATAAGATAATTTATTGAGAGGAAAAGTATACGCTTTTTTTTCCTCTAATTTAAACAATTCTCCTCCATCTCAGAAAATCAAAGTTTATAAAGGATAAAAGGGTAGTACTAGCAGTGGAAGTTGATATTTTTTCCTTCGACCCTTTTGTTTTTCTTGTTATTTAGTTCTCCCTGATTGAGGCATTTGTCTAATAAGCTGTGGAGTGGAAAAAACCATGATAAAATAATTTTTTTTCTTGAATTTTTCTCTTTGAAAGTTGAGTTCACTGCTAATTTGTCAGTCATTTGTTATGCTCCGTGCTGCCATGATTCATACCGGTTTTTTTTTTTTTTTTTTTTTTTTTTGTAACTTTTCCATATAGGACCATATGGGAAACTACATTTGGTTTTGTTAGCAATTGGAGCAGTTGATAGTCATTGGTGATTGAGAGCAAATTGCGAATTTAAAGGATTTATGGGACAGTTAATTGACGGTGAATGCGCCCATTTTGTCTATTTTGTAGCCATGTGAGAGTTCACATGTTGCCTGTGTAGATGGGCCAGATGAATGATTGAAAACCGAGTTTGAGATTTTTGTTAGACTCTGCATTTGTTATCATATTTAGTATGGATTTCAGTTTCCGTTTCAGATAAGGTTCCTCAATGGCTCCCTGTTCCTACCTTGGCCAATGTAGAAAGTTTAATAAGCTCAATACATGGTTATTAACATGTTTGTGGTTATGAAATTTTCTGCATTGGACAATTTGTTCCGAGAAACAAGTTAGGATGTGTATGTGTATGCGGTCCTTTATTATTATGCTCAGAAATATGGTTTATTTATGTGTTTTTGTTGTGATGCAGGGCTTCTGATTATCCTAGGGACTATGATGGTGCCTGCCTTCAAATGAGATTATCCTACAGCCCTGCTGCTCAATTTTTTCTTTTTCTTGTCCAATGGACTGATTGTCACCTAGCTGGTGCCTTGGGATTACTTAGAATTCTTATATACAAGGTGATTTTCATGTTCTTCTCTAGTTTATGTGATGTTGTTTTTAGTGGCCAAAAGTCAATTTCTGATTGCTTAACTCCCTGCTGCCTGCAGATGTTATTCTAGTAAAAAAAAAAAAAAAAAAAACTGCCTTATCCTTGATGTATTATTATCATGTTGTGTCACAGGCTTATGAGGATGGAAAGACAACCATGTCTATTCATGAAAGAAAGGCTAGCATAAGAGAGTTCTATGGTGAGTGAGGTTCAATGAAGTCGCTAACTTTCTAGTGTATGAAACAAAATTTTGAAGCTTGCTACCTTTGGTTTATGATTTATTTTCTCTGACCAAAGATACTAGCAGTCCAATCCATTTATCACCTTTTCTTTTTGTGTTGACAGGGGTGATATTTCCTTCTTTATTGCAACTTCAAAGAGGACTCACTGATGTAGAAGACAGGAAGCAAAAAGAAATTTGTGCGAAGTACAAAAAGAAAAATGAAATGGACAAAGGAAAGCTCTCTGAAGTTGATTTAGAGAGAGAAGAAGAATGTGGCATTTGCATGGAGATTAATAGCAGGGTTGTATTGCCCAAATGCAATCATGCAATGTGTATGAAGTGCTATCGGGATTGGTAAGTTACTTCCACACACTGGCAAGCATGTGCACATGCATACACAATAATCACACAAGAGAATTCAATTCAGGGAATGTAACTTCTAATTTCATGCAGCTCGGTACCTGTTCTATTGATGCTTTTTTTTTTTTTACAATATCCCCGCTTTATTTGCACAGGGGATGAAAATTGATAAATACTTGATAAATTAAGCTGTTTCCACTTTTTTGATATTCAGAAGGTTGGCGGTTCTGTAGCTAGAACTAGAATTTTGCTGCTTGTCTCATTTCATTATTGAATAGAAACTACCTTTTATGGATCAGTATTGAATGCAGCAATTTGTTTTGTTTGTACTGTTTCTTCTTTTTTTGGGTAGTTTCTCAATACTTCTCTCCCATTGGTTCTATACTGGATTCATAACTAGAAAGTTTCTCTGGCCCTTTTCTAATTGGAGATAAAAGGCTGAAAATTAAAAGTGTCAAAATAGGAATAACACTTGATATTATTAGAAATGCCCAATTCTCTCAACATATAGAATTCATGTTTCTTGATCATATTGCTAAACAAGATCGTCCACTGGCAAATGATTTGGTGCCATCTTCTTTTTTGGGGCGTCCTTGTCTGCCAAAAGCATCTTGTCAAATATGGACGAGGATCAGATTATCATCGTCTAAATTTTCTGCTATTTGTTCATGTAAACACCTGTTAATTGGAGTAGTGTGCTTTCGGTCCATTCTCCTTTGTGTTTCAGTAACACATTACAAGGCTAACTTCTAATGTCTCTTCTTGCTGTGTTTGCTTTAGGCGTACTCGCTCTCAATCATGTCCTTTTTGCCGAGACAGTCTCAAGAGAGTCAACTCAGGTGATCTTTGGATCTACACCAGCAACAATGAGGTCATTGACTTGTCTTCAATCACTAGACAGAATTTGAAGAGACTGTTCATGTACATTGATAAGTTGCCTCTCATTGTTCCTGATCCAGTGTTTGTTCCTTACGACCCCCGTTACAGGTGAGGGGTTTCATGGTCTGGAGTTTGTATATAGTTCTGGTTGGTTGTACATGATTCTTTCTTCTCTCCTTCCAGGAGAACATTTTATCACTGTAAATACTTTTCATTGTTAGCACGCTTTGCTTACTATGATTTACTTATTCATTTAAATATATGTAGGCAAGTAGAAGTTAAATTCGTGCTGAAGACAGGTAGGTGGCTTGTCTTTGCACTTTACACGGCACACGAGTAACAAGAGCTCTGATTTCGCTCGTTAATCGTTTTGTCACTAGATTTACTTCGATAATCTCTCTACTGTTCCATTATTAGTGATCTTTAATAAGAGAGAGAGAAATATAAAATGTATTGAAAATGACCCTTCCTTGTCTCCTATTGGTCGACTTAAGAAACTACCTTCTTGCACCGTATAAGAGAGAGAGATCTTAGAATGGAAGAAGGAAATATCAAGTTCTACACACGGTAAAGATTCAGTGAATCTTTGCATGCATAGCTTTGATAGTTTTCCAGACATTTCCCATACTAATTCTCTCTTGCCACGTGCGGTCGTGGCATGAAAGATTTTGTTTTTATCTGCTGCCATGCCACTTGATGGAATGGTGCACAAAACATAATGCAGATAGTTGGATCCGGGGTCTGCCAAATCTGAAAGAATGAGCTCTTACTCTTCTGAAAGAACCATAGGTATCCTTCTAAGGAGATTTGATTTGCATCTCGTTCCATTCAAATGGCAGCAGGGGATATGGTTTGGAATGAAAGACTCTGGACATATTATTTCGGGCTCTACAAAACTCAATATTAAGTCGCATGGGAGTTTTAAGGCTAAGCCGAAATCTAGTACCCCTTGGATAGAAGAAGCTGATGAAATCGAATAATCAACTTGCTACAGGGGAAGGAAAGCTCGTCAACAGAAGAGTTCAATTCAGTGAAAATGATATAGTGAAATACCTTCGTCATCATCTAACTGTTCCAAGGACTCCTCAATAAAATGGCGTCTAGGAAAGAAATAACAGAATGATCATATATGGCTTGTAGCATGTTGAAGTAGAAGAAAATGCCTGAAGAATTTTGGGCTGAGGCAGTAGCTTGTGTGTGTACTTATCAAATCACAGCCCTTCAACAAGAAGTATAGTTAAGTTGTGGAGATTGATGTAAATACAACTCGCAGTATAAGACGTTACGTATACGGCTACTAGAACTAATTATATATTTTTGTTATTATAACCCTAGCTGTCCACTATAAATATAAATAATATCTTTTGTATTTATAAGTTGTATTTATTAAATTTAATAAGAACTCTTAATACAGTTATAGAATAGTCATCATTATTGAATCACGTAAAATTCTTATATTAAATTATTATTTTTGTTTTTCTATTTCATTTTCTTGCAAAATTTGTTTCCTAACAAAGAATATGACACCACAAGAAACATGGAGCAGAAGGAAATCAAGAATTTCTCATTTTCGAGTGTTTGGGAGCATTGTGGCTCGTATGGAAACCATTCGACTTCTCGTAGCTTTGGCATCTCAATATGGATGGAAGATACGTCTAATGGATGTGAAGTGAACATTTTTGAAAGGATATCTTGAGGAAGAGCGTATCTAGAACAACTTACGGACAGGGCACGAAGATTAAGCTGAATGACAAATACCATTATGTCTTTTTGTGTAATCCTCCTTTTTCTCTTGGTCTTTATCTTCATGGATGGAAAGCGGTATAAGTTGTCGTAATTGGATCTCTCGGTTCTCATGATATTGTGCTGTTATCAGAAAAGTAGGCAAATTCAATGAATTTAAGAGCAGGAAAAGGGAATTGAGTTTTAACATGTAAAAGTTCTAGTTGTGTTGTGCATCACAACTTTTACTATTCTGTTATCAATATGTCTATGCACGAAGTTAATTCATTTTGTTTTTTATGCTTTTGGAGTCGAAATTTTGGCTTTCTGCTGCGCTCCTTACAAAATTAATTTCCTTTTTGTTTAGACACACTTAATACTAAAATTTGTCCAAGATATCCTTGCATTAAGGACAAAAAAAGAAAGTTATTATCATAATCTTATACCATAGGCTATTAGTCACACACACATATAAATATTACCTCAAGTTATAAAAAAAAAAAAAAAAAAAAAAAAACCCCACCACTCAGTCTAGTGATTAAGAAAGTCTGTTCCTTTTTTTATTTCTTAAGTTTGAACTTTAGAGACATTCCTTAAGAGAATTAAATTTTTTTTATATACAAATTGAAATTGGTGCGAGAACATCTCTAAATGTTGAATAATAATAAAAACATGGTAATAAGTTCAAATACAATAAGTAATGATTTAACGGTGAGATTTTGGTATTAATACAAAAAGGGTAAAAATATATGGTTACTCGAAAGCATTATTACCTTAAGTTACAAATTATTAAATACACTCATTGTATCACTCCATAGTTTATGGTATTAATTTATTTTTTTAGCTAAGAGTTATTATTATTATTATTATTATTATTATTATTATAGTAGTAGTAGTAGTAACTACTAGCTAAAAAAATAAATTAATACCATAAACTATTGAGTGACACAATGAGTGTATATATATATAAGAATTGCTAATGTTATAGTCCAATTATGGCTTAAAAAGAACATGGTTATCTTAAAAAAGAAAATAAATATTATTTAATGTTAAAAGGTAAATGATTCCAAAACGTTTAAGTAGATTGAATTATTGCACCGTAAAAAAAACTATTTTATAGTTTTTAAAAGCTTTCCTTTAAGGACTTAGTTGTAAGAAAAATATATATAGGAATCAAAATAATTTTTTCAAAAAATAGGGACCAAAATATATATTAGTGAAAATTTTCATACTGTGACCATTTGACACTTATCAATTTTTAACGGGGTTAGTAACACCGATTGATAAAATTCATAAAAGAATATAATGACGATGAAAATGTAACTCGTATAAATGATATCAAGACAACAAAAGGAAAATAGTAAGATAAACATTTAAATACGGAAAAAAAGGGTAAAAAGTTGTTAGAAAGCATTAACCCATTTATAAATACTTGCGAATTATCCATTACGGCAATGACAAGATGAAACTGTGGGTGGGTGGGTGGGAATGGGACGAGGTTGGCACCTGGTGATTTTTTTTTTTTTTTTTTGACCTGACCTTTGAGTTTGACGGTCAATTGGTTTAGTAGTTTTGACATCCACTTCCAGGGTTGGTCACTGGTCTGAGCCGCCGACGGCAGCTAATCCTAGCCCATGGTTTTAGAAATTGAATATATAATAATATACGTTAAGTGATTGTTGTTATCCTATAGCTATGGCATTGCCTTTTCATTTTGGCTCATTAACATTTTCTCGTTATTAGAAAAAAGTTTCATGCTAAATAACAAAGATGGCCATGATGCTAATAATTATACTTTTGAAACAACAAAAAAATTCAAAATATGTTGTAGTAAAATTAAACGTATAAAAGTTTTTTTTTTTTTTTAAATCTCAAAAGTATTACAAGCTTAAAAATCTTAATTAATATCTCGTTGTTCTGTCGAATATATAAGACGAGCATAATTATTTTTTTAAAATATTAAGTATACAATTACTCAAATTTAAAATTATTTATTTAAGTGATTAGAATCCTTTCCATTCAAGTTAAATCTCTTGAGTTAAAGGACTTTGTTTTTAAAAAAGTATTCATATGCTTTTCTTTTTGAATAAATAAATAAATTTAAGGTATTTTTAATAATAATAATAATAATTAAATGTGCAGTAGGTGTTAGTTTTTATTAAAAATTGTATTATTTTTCATAAAAGAAAGTTTACGAGTTTTAAAAACCCTTTAGAATGAAACAATAACAAAAAAAATAATGAGTAAAAGGTTTATGTTTTATTAAAATATTATTATTAAATATTTTGTTATCTCACAAAAATATTTCGAGAACTTTCCCTTTTCTATGAGTTTGTGGTTTAAATTTTCAAAAAACATCATGATGGTTTTTAAATATGGTTTTCTTTTCTTATGAGGAATAGGTTTTGTTTTAAAATAATTTTTTTTATTAATAATTATATTATTTTCAAAGAAAAGTAAAACATATCCCTTTTCAGTATATTGGATACTGTATTCTATTTTTTTTCACAAAAATATAAGATCTATAAATTATTTTTATGATGTTTTTACGAGAAAGTAAAGTATAATTCTTCACGTACCTAATATAATAGTATATTTATAATGTTAATTGGCTAAAGTCAAACGATCACATCTTTCGAAATAACACCTACTGCTACTACTATTTAAAACATTAGATTAAAGGATCTTTGACCCCTTTTGTAATAATAAAGAAAATATTTTTTAAAAAATAAGTCAACGGATATTAGAGTAAATTATTACTTTTTTTCAAAAACTAATAATTTAATCTTTTTGTTTTGAAATCTAATTAGAATTTCTGTTTTTTTAATTTATTTTGATTTTATATTTTAAGAAATAAAAAATAAAATAAAAAAATTGACAAGAAAAAATATTTTATAAAATAAAAATAATATTAAATTAAACATGAATAATATTGATTAAAAAATTAAATAATAATTTTTTAAAAAAGATTAATTTATTTATTTTTTGAAACTAGAGAGACTAATTTAAAATTTGCTCGTGAATTTTACGCTATTCGACATTGATAATCCTTTTTCTTTTTTAAATTCAACCTATCCTCTTTAAGATTTGAATTAGTACAAGAGCTTCAAGTATAAAGCCAATTTCTTAAATTAATGGTTGGACTACATACATTTGTTTGAGTTTTTCTCTAACTTTGTGGTTGCTTACCAATTTTTCTTTTGAGAAAAAAGAAAAACAGCGATTTGGAGATTTTTCTTGCACAAACAATGATAAGAACATACTCTGGATTTTTTTGGTGTTGATTGAAAAAGCATGCAATGAGGCACTAAAAGTTCATTAGCCGAGTAAGTGGCTAATTTTCGAGGTAAGTATCAACACGGAATGACATCGACTCGGGGAAAAAGATCA